CTCATTATGACAGTAAAATAGGGCATTCTAAGTCAATATACTGCAGTATTTCCTCTCTCAATCAATAGAAAATATGGTTAACACCCGGTCATGCATGTAAAAAAAATACCGTCTTGTACCGTGAAACCGGTATAATTTTGAAAAATACCGTGATATAAATTTTTGGTCATACCGCCCAGCACTACTTATAACATATCTGTACATTTATTTAAACAATTACATTTTGTTCCTATACTTCTATTTCTGTATATAGTACATTATTTAATTTCTGTTTTTCTTGCACTATGTCTGTACTTTCTTCTGCACTGGAAGCTCCTGTCGTCAAGTCAAATTCCATGTGTGTGTAAACATACTTGGTAATAAAGCTCTTCTGATTCTGATTGTTGCGAATTCTGCTGATTTGTCATCAATGTTATTTATATGGAAAAAACGTTATCTAAATTGCAAAAATGAGAGTGGTAGTCTTGATGCCATCACGTGAATGTGCTGAAAACTACATACTGTAATGTTTTACATATCTTTTATCTGTCAGCAAAAAGTGTGTGAAACGGAAGTATTTTATGCCCATCAAGGATGCATTGATTTGATTAAAAAAAATACAATAAAAGCAGTAATATTGTGAAATATTTTTACAATTTAAAATAAATGTTTTTTTTAAATATATAGTTTACAATTTAATTAATTCCTGTGATGATAGATCTGAATTTTGAAAAAAAAAAGTTGTACTGCTAAGGTTTATGTAAATTGTGATTTTTATTTATTTATTTATTTATCTATTTATTTATTTATTTATTTATTTACTTACTTAAGAACAACATTTATTTGCAATAGATTTTTTGTTTGTTTATTACACTGTTAAGGTCTTTACTGTCACTTTTCTATTATTAAGTATTAATTTAGTTTAAAATAATCTTTAAAAAAATTGTATTGACCCTAACTTTTGAATGATATAATATTTTTTAAAGTAAAAATATATATGTAAAAATGTAAAAAGTAACTTAATATAAACATTTCTGATTATTCCTTTGAGGTTGGGCCAGTGAAAATGTAAACTACAGGCCTGACTGTATCTTCAGAAAATAAATTTTACTCTTCAGTCCAACATTAAAGCATCATTAAAAAGCAGTGATGATTTCATCTGACTGTCTGAATGCTTCAATCTCACTGAACACTGAAGCTAGAGATGTTTCAGAGGCCAAATGACAGTATGTCAACAGATAAGCCTCAATCACCAGTCAGTTATTTCTGACAGTGTCGGCTGACACAGTGATTTATGGTGTGTCATTACCGGGATGGTCACACACAAACACAAGACAGCCGACAGAAAACGGCAGTGTAAAGTCCAATACTGATAAACTGAACACTCCTTTAAAGTACATAGACTATATACAGACTAAACAAACACATCACCCACAAAGCGCATGTACTTTGGACACATGGCAACTCCCATAATATGGTGTTTCACCTGCCTGTTTAAAGGTCTGTGGAGTCTGTCCTGTGTTCATCCATAACTGTCTGGTTTGGTTCAGCTACAAAATCAGACATCAAGAGACTACAACGGACCGTCAGGACTGCTGAGAGGATTATTGGTGCCCCTCTGCCCAGCCTCCAAGATCTTTACATCTCCAGAGTGAGGAAAAGGGCTAAAAAAATCACCTTGGACCCCTCACACCCAGCCCACTCAATCTTCGAACTGTTGCCTTCTGGTCGGCACTACAGAGCACTGACCACCAGAACAGCCAGGCACAAGAACCGTTTTTTCCCGCAGGCTATATTCAGCCTGAACAATTAATCTTTCATAATTATACATCGTCCATCACAACTAACATAGTTATCTGACATATTTATATTAAACTGCACACTTTGTAAATAACATATCTGCACACTAATAACATATCTGTACATTTATCTAAACAATTACATTTTTCCTATACTTCTATTTCTGTATATAGTACATTATTTAATGGGGTATTTTTTTGTTTTTTTTTTGTTATATTAGTTTTATATTACATCCCTACTGTGTTATTCCTATGTATGTCTGCACTATCATGTATGTCTGCACTATGTTTGTACTTTCTTCTACACTGGAAGCTCCTATCATCAAGTCAAATTCCTTGTGTGTGTAAACATACTTGGTAATAAAGCTCTTCTGATTCTGATTCTGATAATGAGGCAGAATATATGATTACATAAGCATCTTTATGAGCTTCCAAGGAACATACCACTGCTGGATGACATCCCACACCACATACCAAACCATCTATCAATTATTAACTGTAACCCTCTAAATTCACCAAACACAGATAACACTAACTAGAGCGGACGACCTTCAAACTGGACTGCTAAAGGAACAATTTTAATGAACGTGATTGCTGAGTTCAAACAGCACTGACACAATACGTCATTAAATCGCATCTGACCTTATTGACTTTCTTCATCAATCATCTTGGACTTATTGTGCATCTGTGCATATTATTTCAAATATTTTCAAATGTTTGCCTTTGTAATCTTATCAGAATGTAACAGCACACTCCACCCATGCTGAATATCCTGTTTTATTCTTAAATACATTAGATTATGGAAGTAAAATAGTTTTTTTTTTTATGTTCACTATCCATATATGATCAATACTGGGTTTTCTCAGCTAAGAGGGAACATTCAGTTAATGTTCTCTCAAGGTTCTCTCAGAGAACAAACAGTCTTCCAATAACGCTAATAGAAAGCTTCAGTTCAAAGTTATCTGGTCTTTAATAAGGTTCTTAAAACATTAGCACAAAAATATTATTTATACAGAGTTCATGGAAGGTTTTTTTTTTCTAAAACTTTTTAGTTGGACGTTCCTCTGACATTTTTTAAATGTTACTACTAGTTTCAGAATGTTCAGAAAATATAAAAAAAATAATATTCCCATAATGTTTGAAAAATTCCCTTAGCATTCACATTGCCAGGAAAAACTGAAAACATATGAAAAAAAAGATTTTTTGAACGCTCAAAGAAAATTCCAAAGTACGTTCCAACAATGTTTGCAAAATGATGAAGCTGAATGTTCCCTTAATGTTCACATACCAGGAAAAAACATTTTTAAAACATTTAAAGAACTGGATGTTTTGAACGTTCAGAGAACATTTAATAATAATGTTCCCATAATGTTTGCAAAATGAATAAACAGAATCTTCCCTAATACCGTTTGAATAATCAGGGGGAAAAAATACTTTTTTTTTTTAATGCACATTTTGAATGTTTAAAAAATTCATTAGCAAAGCATTCTTAGAACATATTTTTGTTTACTGGGTTGTTGTTTTATCTCACCATGTGGTGACTCTCGTGGCATCCATGTGCCATAGAACTTGGGAAGATGTTGTTGCAAATCCAGTAGCCTTTTATCTGTGCAGTCCTTAGCAAATACCTGCAAACATGTGAAAAAGAAAACATTCAGAAATAATGTTTTCATAACATTCTTAGAACATATTTTTGTTAGCTGGGTATACTCTTTCATTTTGACACTCTCAAAGAGTGAAGTTTTACTGAAAACAAGGAGTTCATATTAGTTGAAATCAGTTGTTTTCCTTCATTTTTTTTTTTGAGGAAACTGGAATCATTTTTTCAGGGTCCTTTTATGAATGGAAAGTTCAGAAGAACAGCATTTGTTTAAAATAAAAATCTTTTGTTTTATAACATTATAAATGTCTTCACTGCCACTTTTGATCAATTTAATGCATCCTTACTGAATAAAAGTAGCTAAAGATATAGTGGTAGTGTAAAGAGCAAAGGAAAGTGTAATTCATTAATTTTAATGGAAATTTACAGTTAAGTTATTTTGCACTGTCTGGCTTGCATGTTTTGTTTTTTCTTTCTTTTTTTCAGGGTTTTATTTTGGTTTAGATGTTTGTCCCTCTGACATTATTTGCATGTGAAGACTATCGCTGTATATATTTTATACTGCTTACAGTGGTGTGGATTCATCTTAGTTACCTGTGTGTAGAAGTTCATCTCTCGTGGGCCTCTCGGAGGAGCTTGTAGCTGTTTCAGGATCGTCCCATCAGGATGCTGCAGAACACCTGTGCAATTACAGAGACGCAAACACTGAAAACCTGCTAACACTTCATCATCATGACAACTGTGAGTATTTTGAGTGTGAAAGCTTTTATGAAAGCCAGGAAAACATTTGAGAGGAGAAAATATACCACATAAATGAGCGTGAGTGTCATTATAAGAATTACATTATAATTAACTAGGATTTAATAAATACCTAAAGAGTTTTACAGGATGGACTTTGGATCAATTTAATGCCTCCTTGCTGCATAAAAACATTTATTTCTTTCAAAAAAGAAAAATCGTACTGAATCGTTTTGTCCATTTCAAAGCTTGATAGTCACTATGAACTGTCATTGTCTTGGAAATATCCATCAAAACTTCTCCTTTTAAAATCAATGAGTTTGGAACGACATGAGGGTAGTTAATACAGAATTTGTGGGTGAACTATTCCTTTAACACAAGAAAAGACAAAGCGCTGACTGCTGACAATCTGACAGTCCATCAGATAACAGCTCACATCTCATTCATTCAGAAAATCCCCATGACAGAGCCACAAATGACACATGAGAGTTACTACAACAGAGGAAATGATGTCATCTGACTGTTGGCAGAAGCAAATTAATTGACGGTATCCCATGTTAAACAAGTGACAAATCCTCTGACCCTTTAATAAACTATAATTAGTTCTCTTACATGATATATTGCCCAACTCAACCTTGCAAACCTGTTAGAAAAACCTGTGCGAAGACCTCCACAGTTGACAACTGAATCTGCTCTCAGTAAGATGTCCTAAAGAAATGTGTAAAGAGTCCTACTGGAATTTATATCATATAGGATAAAGTGTCATTTACAGTGTTGGGGGTAACGCATTACAAGTAACGCGAGTTACGTAATCATATTACTTTTTTCAAGTAACTAGTAAAGTAACGCATTACTTTTTAATTTACAAGAGAATATCTGAGTTACTTTTTCAAATAAGTAACGCAAGTTACTTTTTTTTTTCAATGTATTAATTGACAGCTCTCCTGTCCCCATGTTGAGAAATCAGAAGATGTTACTGTAGTTCCAAAATAAATATGAATATGCATTAATTCAAATCACTCACACAAAAAAAAACGATTCAGTATTCCTCAAAACGAATAAAAATAATGCAACACAGAATATGACGCAAACCTGCCATAATTAAATGTTAAACAACACAAATATCCTTTATGTATTTAATACCATTCTATTAACCAATGTCTTTGCTTTTGACCTTCGATGATCCAGTTCAACCATACTAATAAGCAAAAACGCAATATTGTAATGCTTTACTTTAAAAAGTAACTTTCCCCAACACTGGTCATATATAGGATTAGGACAGTAATTTAAAGAAAATCTTTTAGGATTTTAAATTTCCTAGATCACACTGAGATTCCCTTTTTATCCCAACAGTATTCCAATACAATTCTACAAAAGAGTCCTGTGGAAATGTCAGTTTATCAAGTAGGATGCCATTTGATTCGAATAGGACTTTTTGATCCCTTTAGGATTGGTAACAGATTATGGAAGAAATATGTCCTGTATAAACTTTTTGATGGGTGTTCATCCTAATCCAATCCAAACAGTATGATGCACACAATACACACTTCAGTCAAACAAGAACTAAATACTCTACAATCCTTCATTATTCCTTAAATCCCATTTAATAGAAATACTGTAACTGTAAACATAAGGTTTTCTAAAAAAAAAAAAAAAAAGTGAAGATCACATGAAGAACATCAGAAGAACTGACCAGTGTTATTGATCCCGCATTTATGTCCAGCCACCTGATGAGAGAAGGGCACACATCCATCCAAGAGCACCTGCTTTACTGACCCATTCTTATTATTTTCATTTTCCAGTTTTTCCAGCGTTCGAGATGATGAGTCCATGATTTGACCGTCTGCAGACATGTTCAACGTCAACTTATCCAAGTTTAACGGAAGCTGGCAAAACTTCTGTTAATCATTTTCCATATCTGTCAGTTATTCTAAAAGAACATAAACGTGTTCATTAAAACTCAAAATGTCTCTTTCTTCTGACCAGAATGTTTTTGTTCATTCACTCGCATATGTGTCCGTAGTTTTAATCTACACTGGAGCGCGACGCGTAGTTTGGGTTGCGGAATGGTTCGTGACGTAATCACGCAGTTTACCAATCAAAGTTGGCGTTCGCAAACGTTGCGTTCATGCGCGACGCGTCTCTGATCTGGTTACTGAATGAGTAGTGACGTGAGCACGCGTTCCACCAATCCAAGTTGGCGTTCTCGCAGGTTGCGGTCTAGCGTTCCGTCTGCGCTTTGTAACAAGTTTTTTTTATCATTTCGACGCACTCCACTTTAACAAAGCAACGCACACTTGAAAATCAGTTTTTAAATGACGTAAAGTCACTGATTAGCAAGAATTAACTTTTACTCAAGCGACACAAACTGTAAACAGCTGAGCGTTTCATTAAAGTTTTACACTTAATGTTGTGCTTGGGTGAATCATCGTCTCACACAACCTGTTTGAAACTGTTTATTTAACATCAAACTTGTACAGTGTACTTTTCTGAGGGAGAAAATACAATAATTTCACAGAAAAGACAAGCTCATCAAAACATGATTTTCTTCATGCAACATTTGGCTCTGTTACAGAAATAGATCTAGCATTTGCACAAGTACATCTTTCTGAATGACAAGAGGCAAAATACTCCAAATTAGATTTTAAACGACATAAAACAGTACCTGTCAGATTCTGTGACTAGGATTCAAAATATAGGTGAATGCCATTTTAAGTACATTTAATGTCAGTGATCAGTTAAGGTCATATGTGAAATTTAACAGGCAACACGTAGAAAGAAAACATGTGAAGATGGCCATTTGGTTACTCCTTTCACATTCATATTTATCTCCTAAAACGAACAAGATTCTGTTCAAAATTCAAGTTTTTGTCTCTAGTGTCTCTACAATATTACGACCAGTGTTTAAGCACAGAAACATATTTAGAAGAGTTTGGTTAAACCAGAACATATCCCATAAAGTCTAAGAAGATAAAAAGAGAAAATTGATATGTATTGCTTAACAACCACCCAGATATATATAGTACTGGTCTGAGAGCAGATCACTGAAACCGGTCAAGCATACAGAACACGATCAAGCACACATACACAGGATAACATAATCACACATTTAATCCCATCAGCCCTGACCACACATGTAAAGCGAAGACACACTAATCTCTATCACTGAGAATGGACGGTCATGAACAGTGGAAATGCTCATGCCTCCTTGCGTTTAATGATCAGAGGACCAACGTTGTCTCCCGTTTCCTGATTGTGTTTAGCATGTGCGCCATCACAGTATGGAAACTGTAAGAAACCAGAGAAAACAATTACATTAAAAACGCGTCACAGCGAGTTTCATGTCACTGATGCTAAAAACCAAGTTTTGGCAAGTTTATTCAGCAGGGACTCAGATTGAACTGATCAAAAGTGACAGTTAAGAATTATGCAATGTTACAAAAGATTTCTTTCAAATAAATGCTGTTCTTTTGAGATTGTTATTAATCAACGAATCCTGAAACAAAATCACAGTTTCCACAAAAATGATTAATTAGCACTGGTGTTTTCAACATTGATAAGAAGAAGAAATGTCTGTTGAGCAGCAAATCAGCATATTAGAATGATTTCTGAAGGATCATGTGACACTGAAGAGCGGAGTAATGGCTGCTGAAAATTCAGTTTTGCATCACAGATATAAATTACATTTTAAAATATTTTACAATAAAACAGCTATTTTGAACTGAAATAATATTTCACAATATAACTGTTTTTACTGTATTCTCCATCAAATAAATGCATCCTTGGTGAGCATAAGAAACGTCAAAAATATTACAAAATTTTACTGATCCTAAACTTGTTTCGCTTTGGATGAAATGGATATTTTTCCCTTCTGCTGCTTTTAAGATCACAGTTCAAAATAGCCACTAGTGATGTTCCCATGGCCTCAGAACAATAATAGTCACATGGAATTTAAAACTAAATGATTGGCTAAATATTTCAGGAACTGAAAATCCACGAGCAAAGACAACAACTCATTCCAAAATAACATATTTTCTGAGCAGGTTCTTCTTTTGAATAAGCAATTACTTAGTGACCATCAAAAAGAATGAATGAGTGTAGTATAAATGTAATCTAGACATACTACATTCATCATAGTAGGTCATCCAGCGACATCTGCCTTTTTTTTTTTTTTTGGAACACTGTAATTTTGGACATACTATAGTTCACATACAGTTTTTTGCCTACTATATAGTAGGGAAGTATGTGATTTTGGATGCAGCCAACAGTCAAAACGTCACCTGTTGCAGGGCCAGGTCAATGGCAGTTGGATCCGCCCCTGCAATACGTGACTAGCAAGCACTGCAGGAGTTAAATGGGAATGCTAACAGACAAGTTAAAGATAAACACCTCCTTGTATTAATCACACTCAACTGTCCATGTATTATATGTACATAATAAACATCTCTCCTGGTTTCATGAGGGTTAGTTTCAGATTCTGGCTTCAGCAAGATGTCCAGGAGAACATTCACATTTTTGATGCAGCAGTTTCTGTATTTTGAGTGTTGATGGATCAAAGTTAAACGTTTCTGTCTAATTTCTAATGGCAGTTTCTCAGATGTTTTTCATTAAGCACTTTCTCACCTTTTTGGATCTCCAGCACCTACAGTACACAGCTTTGTCGTCCAGGTCCTCAATGTCAAACGCATGTACCACTTTGGGGTTGTCTTTCTGCAGATCAAGGTTGACCTTTGGCTTCTCGCATCTGCTTTTGCTAAAAAATGATTTGTAGATGAGGATTCCCACTGCTGCAGCTCCAAATGTCACAGACACTGCAGTGATGATCTCAGCTGGAGGAGCACAGAAGACATCTTACCACACAGAGCCTTTTACTCCAGTAACATCACAGTGACAAATCTAAAACACTGAGTACCATACGAACTAAAACCATGTTAGTTATAAATAACCCATTTTTAGATAGGCGTGTATAAATAAGAAAAAAATACTTAAAAGAATATCATAAAATATTAATATTATTACTTATATTAATTAGGTTAAATAAAACTAAAGATACTAAATAAATAGTTTACGTTTCTCTATGACTACACAGTGACAGATCTACTGTTTGAACCATTAAACGTTGAAACTGCATTAAATAATCATAGTAACTACATCCATGTCAGTTACTGAAACTATATTTAATTTCTTGAAACCTGATACGAACAGAGATAGTCTATTAGATTGTCAACGATGCAGCGAGCAAAAGAGAACAAATGAAGACATTCAGAGACGCTCGCTTATATAACAACCTGTTGATGTGTGTTTGTGAACCATATCTTCCATATTTCAGTTTATTTCAGTAGTTTCTAATAAACTACTGCTAAAATTCCGACCATAGACACATACAGCGTGAGCAAAACAGTACATTTGCCTTACAAAACACCTTTATATAACATCTTTAATGGAGGTCTTTACCTTTATGGAAGGAGTTGGACGCGCTCATGGTTAATTATTATTGTTTTGTATTATTATGATTATTTTTTGCTCATAATTTAAAGAGCTTCAATCGTCCTCAAGGCCAAATGGAGAGTTCAATCTGATTAACTGTGCGCTGTATTTACGCAGAACGCGAGTTATTAAGCAACTGATGGACTTTTACTTTGACTTTGCGGGTGCGCATGTGGTCGGTGAAGGTTGAACTGAGTGTGATTATTATTTTTTTTTTCTACAGGTCAATACGAGCGTTAAAACCTAAAGAAAAGTATCTGTAATTTTTTTTCAATGTGTAACAAAGTTTTATATAAATTATTTATTTCCTATTGATTTATTTAAACGATCTAAAAGTTCAAATGAATTCATATTATTTTATTTTGCCACTATTTTCATACAGTGAATGTGGATTGTTTTAAATACAGAGCCCCAAATATTTATAAAACTTATTTATGATTAAAATTTTGGGTTGAAAGGCATGACAGTAAGCAGTTGTCCATTTTTTGTGTGACTTTTTAAAACCATTTATAAAAACAATACTTTTATTTTGAAGTAGTGTACAGGAAGTCTTGCGCTACTTCCGAGATCACGTTGACAAACATACACGTGTGTGTCCAGCAGCATGGATCTTAACAAGTGGTGCAATTTAAAGTCCGAACCCAGTTTAAAACATTTGACAGAGACAGGGTTCGGTGTCCCGAAAGAAAAGCAACGCGTGTCCGTGCAGGAGCTGGTGAAGGCGCACATTGAGTCATTTGATCAGGCAGTTACTGATGGATTATGTCGGGTTGTGGAGGTGACGTGCAGACATACACAAACACACGTGTTTATACACATGTAAATTCTCTACAGACGCTTGACAAATGCATTTATATGCTAATGCTGCCTAATAAACAAGTAAAATATCTCTGCTTTCAGGCCATACCTCCTATGGAGTTCATGTATAAGGGAGACAGGATCAGTCTGTCGTTTGTGGAGGCCATCATTCACACGCCTGCAGTTTCTAAAGGAGGAATCAGCAGTGACCTGCGGGTCTTCCCTGCTGAATGCAGAGGCAGGCGCTGTACTTACAGAGGAAAGCTAGTGGTAAGTCTGACCATTAAATATAAGTAAGTGAAGTATTTGTGTGTGTATGCACAAGTATGTACTAAATCCATATTTGTGTATTTCACATTCATAATTGCATGTGATGTATGCAAATATACACACGTGTTTATATGAAATTCTATAAGAATGTATTTAATATTTTACTTGCATTAATCATATAATTCTATTGATTTTACAAGCTTTTTACTCCAGTTATATAACACAGTAACAAATCTATTATTCAAACCATTAAAGGGGTCCTATTATGCTTTTTCACTTTTTCAACTTTAGTTAGTCTGTAATGTTGCTGGTTAAAAAAAGATCTGCA